AACTAACTAACTAACTAACTAACGTACTAACTAACTAACTAACTAACTAACTAACTAAACTAACTACTTTTATAATACAAATATTCAGCGAAATGTCTTCCGGATCGGCCATAATTGGTTATAGCTTCTATATAGAGTCCACTTCCGAAAATCACTTAATCGCGGGCTTAATATCGGTATAAAATTCTACATGAATATGTTATGTATATATGTAAATATAACTTATTCTGCTAAATTTCGATCGCTCCGTAACTGTCATAGCGACCATATTAAGTCCACTTCCGAAAATCACTTAATCGTAAATAACCCATAAATTAATAATGCTATCGTAATTCCTATTCTAAATGAAGATGACTTCGATTCATAATTGACCCAAACCCTGAATAAAGTTCCTATTCCGACCACTTTCTGAAACTAGGAATATACGATATATGTTTTGGTAAGATTCGGCTTAATCGTATATAACATTTCAAGTAGTTTTAGTTATGATTCCTATATTCGAACGCCAAAATTCAAATGTGAAAGTTTAGCAAAGGTGTTAAAGATTTAACACCTTTAAGTCTCTGGCTAAACGTTAAATATTATTGAGCTTTAGTTTACGCATTTGCCAACAACACACGAGTAGTAAAGTATCATTCACCAATTTGAACAACAGCATTAACAACAACAACAACAACTTTAACTGAAATAAAATATTGGTTGCTTGGATCGTCGTCTACGTTTGTTTGCAATTGCTGTTGTTTGTTATTGTTGTTGTTGCTACTGCTGTTAAAGCAGTAGTAGTAGTTGTTGTTATTGTCGGCAATAATAACAAACAAACATATAAATGGTTTGTATCTGCAGCTGTTTAATTTTTCATTCAATATTTATTTACAGAATTTTTTTGTTTAAACGAATTGTATGGCTTTTTTTGGGTTTTCGTTGAGTTTGTCGTTGTTGTTATTGGCGTTCTTGTTAATATTATTATTGTTGTTATTTTTGGACTTTCATTTGTAAAAAAAATTACTTTGTTTTGACGTCACTTGTTTACAATTCCAAATAGTATTTGTTGGTTAATTGTTGTTGTTGCTGTTGTTGTTCTTTTATTATTGTATGTCTTCGATTTTAATATTTATTTAATACTTTTCTATTTTTGTTGTTTTTGTTCTTAGAGCTTGTTTAAGAGAGATCGTGTTTATTTCTTTATTTTTGTTTTTATTTTCAAACATTAAAAAAACCGTTTATTGTTTGCGACCACGACACGTTCGTTTTCAAGCTAAAGTGAGACTGTCTCAGTGAAATAAATGAAAAAAACTGATCCGTTCCAATGTTGAGGTGAAATACTCCCAATTCTCTCAATGTCTACAACAACCAATATTTATTGTGCATACATATGTATGATTTCTGAATTCGTATTTTTATTCGATTTTTGTTTTGTGTTACGAAGTTGTTTTTGCTGTTTTTATCAGTTCTTTAAGAAAATTACATACAATTTGTTTTTGTTGTTCTTTGGTTGCATTAATCGTAGTACCATGTGTTGTATGAGCAATGAGAATACTCAATATTCAACTTTTAATGCAAGCGAGAGCGAACACTTATTGAGATCGTTTTTATGATATTGATCAGTTTGCTGGTATAGTCGGACATGTCCAAACACATGACACCCTTCATCAGCTATGAACATACATATGTATATATGTATGTTTAAATGATTTTTGAAGAGAAGTGGTACTTGGAGCGAAACTGCCAACGTTGTAAGATCTAACAATTGGACTGTCTTCACATGGTAGCTGTGACCAATTTCGATTTGTAGACATAAATACAAATTGCATTCGAGTATAATTTTATACCGGGATCATTATTAATTCATGAGTTATTAGCGCTTAAGAGATAATCGGCTTTATATGGGAGGTATTTTCACATACAACACTCTCCCATATTATTCGATATTTTAGTTCGAATACGCCATTAAAGAATGAGAAAATTAATTTTCAATAACTTCCATTATTGTGAAATATTATCCACTCGTCACGTACGATCCTATGGAATAGCCAATACATTAGAAGTCCTAATATGAAGACTAGAAATTTAACTTTTAAATCTTTAAAATTTATTTGCCACCAATAACAAAATTAATATTTCTTCCCCTTGAGTGAGTATTGTGGATTAAGTATCAACATATGGGTATTTCCACCGAAAAGTATATTTTTTTGTCACAACACATCTTGCACATTCTTTGACAATATCTTAGGACCATTCGTTTTGACTGGTCTCCTCTTTATCCTATGCATAGAGGTATTAGAGCTCTACAGAAAAATATAAACAATTTAAAAATATACATATATATTTTTTCCTTTGATATAGGCAATTAATGGTTCATAACGTGATGTGACAAAAGTGGATTTTTCGGTGGAAATGTCCATATGTAAATGAAGTACTTGTGTGTATATACGATTTTAAATTTATAATTATAAACTCTTAATTCAATCGCTGTTCAATGTCAAAAATGTTATTCGTTAACGCACTATATAACTCCAATATGTACAACATATTGTTATTGAACTTGATCTTATATGTGTTATTAAAATTAGAAAGGACATAAATATTTGAGTCAATTAGTTCGGCTAACTATAAAAGACAGCGATATTTCATAAACTAATTCAGAAATTGAACTGAAAACGGTGGTATGGAAATTTTAAATAGTACTAACTTATGTATAACAAAAATAGTACTTTTTAGGTTTTAAAGTACTAAACCAATTTTCAGCTAGACAAGATAGAAAGACTGTAGACTAGACTATAGAGTAGACTTAGAGTGGACTATAGACATGACTATAGAGTAGACTATAGACTAGACTATAGACAATACTAGACTAGAAAAGAGACTAGGCTATAGAATATAGACTAGACTATAGATTAGACTATTGACTAGACAATAGACTAGACTATAGACTAGACTATAGACTAGACTATAGACTAGACTATAGACTAGACTATAGGACTAGACTATAGACTAGACTATAGACTAGACTATAGACTAGACTATAGACTAGACTATAGACTAGACTATAGACTAGACTATAGACTAGACTATAGACTAGACTATAGACTAGACTATAGACTAGACTATAGACTAGACTATAGACTAGACTATAGACTAGACTATAGACTAGACTATAGACTAGAGATAGACTAGACTATAGACTAGACTATAGACTAGACTATAGACTAGACTATAGACTAGACTATAGACTAGACTATAGACTAGACTATAGACTAGACTATAGACTAGACTATAGACTAGACTATAGACTAGACTATAGACTAGACTATAGACTAGACTATAGACTAGACTATAGACTAGACTATAGACTAGACTATAGACTAGACTATAGACTAGACTATAGACTAGACTATAGACTATAGATAGACTAGACTAGACTAGACTACTAGACTAGACTAGACTAGACTAGATAGACTAGACTAGACTATAGACTAGACTATAGACTAGACTATAGACTAGACTATAGACTAGACTATAGACTAGACTAGACTATAGACTAGACTATAGACTAGACTATAGACTAGACTAGACTATAGACTAGACTATAGACTAGACTATAGACTAGACTATAGACTAGACTATAGACTAGACTATAGACTAGACTATAGACTAGACTATAGACTAGACTATAGACTAGACTATAGACTAGACTATAGACTAGACTATAACTAGACTATAGACTAGACTATAGACTAGACTATAGACTAGACTATAGACTAGACTATAGACTAGACTATAGACTAGACTATAGACTAGACTATAGACTAGACTATAGACTAGACTATAGACTAGACTATAGACTAGACTATAAACTAGACTATAGACTAGACTATAGACTAGACTATAGACTAGACTATAGACTAGACTATAGACTAGACTATAGACTAGACTATAGACTAGACTATAGACTAGACTATAGACTAGACTATAGACTAGACTATAGACTAGACTATAGACTAGACTATAGACTAGACTATAGACTAGACTATAGACTAGACTATAGACTAGACTATAGACTAGACTATAGACTAGACTATAGACTAGACTATAGACTAGACTATAGACTAGACTATAGACTAGACTATAGACTAGACTATAGACTAGACTATAGACTAGACTATAGACTAGACTATAGACTAGACTATAGACTAGACTATAGACTAGACTATAGACTAGACTATAGACTAGACTATAGACTAGACTATAGATTAGACTATAGACTAGACTATAGACTAGACTATAGACTAGACTATAGACTAGACTATAGACTAGACTATAGACTAGACTATAGACTAGACTATAGACTAGACTATACACTAGACTATACACAGACTATAGACTAGACTATAGACTAGACTATAGACTAGACTATAGACGACTATAGACTAGACTATAGACTAGACTATAGACTAGACTATAGACTAGACTATAGACTAGACTATAGACTAGACTATAGACTAGACTATAGACTAGACTATAGACTAGACTATAGACTAGACTATAGACTAGACTATAGGACTAGCCTATAGACTCGACTATAGACTAGACTATAGGACTAGACTATAGACTAGACTATAGACTAGACTATAGACTAGACTATAGACTACCGACTATAGACTAGACTATAGACTAGACTATAGACTACTCTATAGACGAGACTATAGTCTATGATTATGAAAGATCTCTCAGATAACTGAGATTCACATAAGGCGAAAACATTCGTCCTAAGATTTAAGATGTCTCATACTGTTGTTGTTGTGATAGATATCACACTCGCATCCTATTATAGGACTATAAGATCTTAAAGGAAATGTGATAAATATTTTTTTTTTTTTTTTTTGGAAACAATGAAGAAATAGCTATCTGATCTCCTTTGGACAATTTTTGCTAGGACCATTGGAATAAAGCCCTGTATGACCAAAATGTCCAACTTTAACCCCTCTGACTCCGGCAGTTCTTGATCGATAGAGCTGAAAATTTGTGTCTGACCTAGTATCCCATAGTGCTAACCTAGGCTGCAAATTTCATCCAAATCGGAAGTCATCGATTTTAAAAGTTGGGTCACTTGATACGAAAGTACCCATATATAACTGGATCAGTTACATGAAGTGCGTAAAAAAAGCAAAACTGATAAAAATTATCTTCCCGATCCTCTTAAAAAAATAATTACCACTGCAATTTTTAACTTATTTTGTGTCGGTATTAAGAATATTCTGAAAAAAAATGTAACAAAGGTAAAAACTAAAAAAGAATAATTGATTTTGTTTTCATGAAACAATAATTTATACCGACAGTCAAAACAACTGAAAAAAAAAAATCGTTAATTTTTTATGATTTGGTGAAAACATCTGAAAATACTTTAATTATAAAAGTAAATTCATTTTTTTACACAACTCGATAGTTATAAAGAAAAGCAACATTTAAAAATAATACAGCCCAACAAAATTCGAAAAATGTCCTAACCTGGAGAACTACAGTTTGTTCGAAATATCGTGTACTAAAGTTTGGAAAAACTCTATTTTTGGGGCCATATTTGAGACATTATAACAGTGCGATTACCCGTAATTTTGTAACCTATAAATTGGTCCATGCTAATGTTGATACTGTGCATAAATAATCAGAACCGAATTTTAAACAATTAGTTTTGAATAAAATCTTGTAAAATGCACTTCGCCTTTCTATATCAAATAACTGTAATCGTATTCATTTTTAAATTGAACGAAATCAATTCCGTTGGCCAATTCTATACAACAATTGAAAATAAACAATATTATGTGGACAAAGATAAATATGTAAGTTAAGAATAATTCGTTAACATATTTTTTCGAAGAATACTTTTAAATATTAATCTTCCAGTATACGTTGGATAATAGTATAGTAGAATGTCTAAAACTGAACATGTCATTGCTCACAATTGATACCATAAAGGAGGAGGAGGCAATAAATAAACTGTTAGAAAATAAAAATAATTTCCCGGATGTACCTCAATTATGGATTGGTGGTTTTATAATACCAGGAACACGTACCGCCGTTTGGATTCATACAGGTAGAATATTCGATAGCTGGTATCGTGGTAATCCAGATTATACATTTAACTGTATTTTTATTGGCTATAAATCGAAAACTCAATGGACTGATGGTACGTGTACGAACAAACGTGGATTTATATGCAAACATCCGAGCGAGAGAAAATTACAGGAAGAGCATGAAAAGCTAAAAGAGAAATTTCAAATCGAAACCGAAAAAATCCAACATTTACAGGATGAACTAAATAAAGAAAAAGAATTATCAGAAAATCTTAAGCAACATTTACCAGCTAGGCCAACGAATGAAGAAGGCAAGCCAATGTCAGATTTGCCAAGCTCACAACTAGAACTTGATCAGGCATTACCAAGTGGTGAGCCGGATACATTGGAAGTGCCAAATAATCAACCGCAAGAATATCAACCACAATATTTATTTTCACACGTAAACAATGCATTTTTTATGCCTAACATACATTAAAGTTTAATTAGTTATATGAAGATTAATACTAATAAATATTTGTTCACTTAAAAGAAATAAATACAATTTTTGTTTAAAGATATTTCTTTTCATTGCATTAATTGTTATCAGCTCTTCAAGACCAATCAAATGTATACTTTTTAGATTCCGAATATATCACAGTCCAGTCTATAGTCTAGTCAATAGAATAGTCTATAGTCTAGTCTATATATTGAGTCTATGTCATACTCTACCCTGTAGTTAATTCTATAGTCTAGTCCATAGTCCAGTCTATAGTCCAGCCTATAGTCTAGTCAATAGCCTAGTCAATAGCTAAGTCTATAGTCGAGTCTATAGTCGAATCTATAGTCGAATCTATAGTCGAGTCTATAGTCGAGTCTATAGTCGAGTCTATAGTCGAGTCTATAGTCGAGTCTAGTCGAGTCTATAGTCGAGTCTATAGTCGAGTCTATAGTCGAGTCTATAGTCGAGTCTATAGTCGAGTCTATAGTCAAGTCTATAGTCGAGTCCATAGTCGAGTCTACAGTCGAGTCTATAGTCGAGTCTACAGTCGAGTCCATAGTCTAGTCTCTAGTCTATAATCTAGTCTATAGTCTAGTCTATAATCCAGTCTATAATCTAGTCTATATCCTAGTCTTAAGTCTAGTCTATAGTCTAGTCTATAGTCTAGTCTATAGTCTAGTCTATAGTCTAGTCTATAGTCTAGTCTATAGTCTAGTCTATAGTCTAGTCTATAGTTAGTCTATAGTCTAGTCTATAGTCTAGTCTAGTCTATAGTCTAGTCTATAGTCTAGTCTATAGTCTAGTCTATAGTCTAGTCTATAGTCTAGTCTATAGTCTAGTCTATAGTCTAGTCTATAGTCTAGTCTATAGTCTAGTCTATAGTCTAGTCTATAGTCTAGTCTATAGTCTAGTCTATAGTCTAGTCTATAGTCTAGTCTATAGTCTAGTCTATAGTCTAGTCTATAGTCTAGTCTATAGTCTAGTCTATAGTCTAGTCTATAGTCTAGTCTATAGTCTAGTCTATAGTCTAGTCTATAGTCTAGTCTATAGTCTAGTCTATAGTCTAGTCTATAGTCTAGTCTATAGTCTAGTCTATAGTCTAGTCTATAGTCTAGTCTATAGTCTAGTCTATAGTCTAGTCTATAGTCTAGTCTATAGTCTAGTCTATAGTCTAGTCTATAGTCTAGTCTATAGTCTAGTCTATAGTCTAGTCTATAGTCTAGTCTATAGTCTAGTCTATAGTCTAGTCTATAGTCTAGTCTATAGTCTAGTCTATAGTCTAGTCTATAGTCTAGTCTATAGTCTAGTCTATAGTCTAGTATAGTCTAGTCTATAGTCTAGTCTATAGTCTAGTCTATAGTCTAGTCTATAGTCTAGTCTATAGTCTAGTCTATAGTCTAGTCTATAGTCTAGTCTATAGTCTAGTCTATAGTCTAGTCTATAGTCTAGTCTATAGTCTAGTCTATAGTCTAGTCTAGTAGTCTAGTCTATAGTCTAGTCTATAGTCTAGTCTATAGTCTAGTCTATAGTCTAGTCTATAGTCTAGTCTATAGTCTAGTCTATAGTCTAGTCTATAGTCTAGTCTATAGTCTAGTCTATAGTCTAGTCTATAGTCTAGTCTATAGTCTAGTCTATAGTCTAGTCTATAGTCTAGTCTATAGTCTAGTCTATAGTCTAGTCTATAGTCTAGTCTATAGTCTAGTCTATAGTCTAGTCTATAGTCTAGTCTATAGTCTAGTCTATAGTCTAGTCTATAGTCTAGTCTATAGTCTAGTCTATAGTCTAGTCTATAGTCTAGTCTATAGTCTAGTCTATAGTCTAGTCTATAGTCTAGTCTATAGTCTAGTCTATAGTCTAGTCTATAGTCTAGTCTATAGTCTAGTCTATAGTCTAGTCTATAGTCTAGTCTATAGTCTAGTCTATAGTCTAGTCTATAGTCTAGTCTATAGTCTAGTCTATAGTCTAGTCTATAGTCTAGTCTATAGTCCTAGTCTATAGTCTAGTCTATAGTCTAGTCTTAGTCTAGTCTATAGTCTAGTCTATAGTCTAGTCTATAGTCTAGTCTATAGTCTAGTCTATAGTCTAGTCTATAGTCTAGTCTATATAGTAGTCTAGTCTATAGTCTAGTCTATAGTCTAGTCTATAGTCTAGTCTATAGTCTAGTCTATAGTCTAGTCTATAGTCTAGTCGATAGTCTAGTCTATAGTCTAGTCTATAGTCTAGTCTTAGTCTAGTCTATAGTCTAGTCCTATAGTCTAGTCTATAGTCTAGTCTATAGTCTAGTCTATAGTCTAGTCTATAGTCTAGACTATAGTCTAGACTATAGTCTAGTCTATAGTCTAGTCTGTAGTCTAGTCTGTAGTCTACTCTATAGTCTTGTCTATAGTCTAGTCTGTAGTCTACTCTTTAGTCTAGTATACTCTAGGCTATAGTCTACTCTAAGCTCTAGTATACTTCCAGAGTCTATAGTAAAGTCTATAATCTAGTCTTTAGTCTAATTTATAGACTAGTCTATGATCTCTTAGCCGACCAATATCTCATATAGTAGCTAAAGCCTTCAGCATTTAGTTTTAAATAGTGCTTCACCAGTAATGTTGAAGTGTTTTAATGGTCTAAATCAGGGTATAAAATTTACTAGTACTAAATGGTTTAGACAGTAAATTAGTACTTCATGTTTATACAATTTTCGAAAACAATAATTGTATGTTGCCATTTCAAAACTAACGGTTCAAATTTAACATTCAAAACATATGAAAGAAAATTAATAACTTTTAATGATTTGGTGAAAAAACTATTCGCTAAAAACAACTGAAAATATCTTAATTAAAAAAGTAAAAACAGCTGTTTTATACAAATCAATTGTTATAAAAGCAAGATCAAAAAAAAAAAAAAAAAAACACAGGCCAACAAAGTTTAAACAAGTAAGAGTGTTAGTTAGATTCGACTATGCCGAATCATATATACTCACCATCAAACCGTATGCCATAAATGGAATGCTCCCCTATAAATATTAGGTTGATATTTGACATAGGGCTTAAGTCAATTACGGACGCATCCCTTTCGGGTTAAAAAAACATTCATTTTCTGAGGGGTACCTTATATGGGGAGTAGAGTTAATAGTTGACCGATCTTCATAAAATTCGGTAGATAGATTTTTGACAGTGAAAAACTTACTTATATCGAATGTCAGCGCTACCCAGCAAAAATAAAATGAAGTACTTCTAAGTAGTGAATTTGGAAAAATAAAAAGGACATCCCTCCTACGACAAACCTGTGTTAAAATCATCACTTCTTCAGGTCTTTTTCTGTACTTCCATAGAGTAAATTCTACTTCTTGTTCGCTTCTTTGGAAGAACTTTTTTTGTTGGGTAGATTCGAACTCTATCGTGCTTTCAACAGACAGACAGACAGACGGACCGACCGACAGACAAACAAATGGACGGACTATAGACTAGACTATAGACTAGACTATAGACTAAACTATAGACTAGACTATAGACTAGACTAGACTAGACTAGACTAGATTTTAGACTAGACTAGACTATAGACTAGACTATAGACTAGACTATAGACTAGACTATAGACTAGACTATAGACTAGACTATAGACTAGACTATAGACTAGACTATAGACTAGACTATAGACTAGACTATAGACTAGACTATAGACTAGACTATAGACTAGACTATAGACTAGACTATAGACTAGACTATAGACTAGACTATAGACTAGACTATAGACTAGACTATAGACTAGACTATAGACTAGACTATAGACTAGACTATAGACTAGACTATAGACTAGACTATAGACTAGACTATAGACTAGACTATAGACTAGACTATAGACTAGACTATAGACTAGACTATAGACTAGACTATAGACTAGACTATAGACTAGACTATAGACTAGACTATAGACTAGACTATAGACTAGACTATAGACTAGACTATAGACTAGACTATAGACTAGACTATAGACTAGACTATAGACTAGACTATAGACTAGACTATAGACTAGACTATAGACTAGACTATAGACTAGACTATAGACTAGACTATAGACTAGACTATAGACTAGACTATAGACTAGACTATAGACTAGACTATGGACTAGACTATAGACTAGACTATATACTAGACTATAGACTAGACTATAGACTAGACTATAGACTAGACTATAGACTAGACTATAGACTAGACTATAGACTAGACTATAGACTAGACTATAGACTCTACTATAGACTAGACTATAGACCTAGACTATAGACTAGACTATAGACTAGGACTATAGACTAGTCTAGTCTATAGTCTAGTCTATAGTCTAGTCTATAGTCTAGTCTATAGTCTAGTCTATAGTCTAGTCTATAGTCTAGTCTATAGTCTAGTCTATAGTCTAGTCTATAGTCTAGTCTATAGTCTAGTCTATAGTCTAGTCTATAGTCTAGTCTATAGTCTAGTCTATAGTCTAGTCTATAGTCTAGTTCTATAGTCTAGTCTAATAGTCTAGTCTATAGTCTAGTCTATAGTCCTAGTCTATAGGTCTAGTCTATAGTCTAGTCTATAGTCTAGGTCTATAGTCTAGTCTATAGTCTAGTCTATAGTCTAGTCTATAGTCTAGTCTATAGTCTAGTCTAGTCTAGTCTATAGTCTAGTCTATAGTCTAGTCTATAGTCTAGTCTATAGTCTAGTCTATAGTCTAGTCTATAGTCTAGTCTATAGTCTAGTCTATAGTCTAGTCTATAGTCTAGTCTATAGTCTAGTCTATAGTCTAGTCTATAGTCTAGTCTATAGTCTAGTCTATAGTCTAGTCTATAGTCTAGTCTATAGTCTAGTCTATAGTCTAGTCTATAGTCTAGTCTATAGTCTAGTCTATAGTCTAGTCTATAGTCTAGTCTATAGTCTAGTCTATAGTCTAGTCTATAGTCTAGTCTATAGTCTAGTCTATAGTCTAGTCTATAGTCTAGACTATAGTCTAGACTATAGTCTAGTCTATAGTCTAGTCTGTAGTCTAGTCTGTAGTCTACTCTATAGTCTTGTCTATAGTCTAGTCTGTAGTCTACTCTTTAGTCTAGTATACTCTAGGCTATAGTATACTCTAAGCTATAGTATACTCCAGTCTATAGTAAAGTCTATAATCTAGTCTTTAGTCTAATTTATAGACTAGTCTATGATCTCTTAGCCGACCAATATCTTCATATAGTAGCTAAAAGCCTTCAGCATTTTAGTTTTAAATAGTGCTTCACCAGTAATGTTGAAGTGTTTTAATGGTCTAAATCAGGGTATAAAATTTACTAGTACTAAATGGTTTAGACAGTAAATTAGTACTTCATGTTTATACAATTTTCGAAAACAATAATTGTATGTTGCCATTTCAAAACTAACGGTTCAAATTTAACATTCAAAACATATGAAAGAAAATTAATAACTTTTAATGATTTGGTGAAAAAACTATTCGCTAAAAACAACTGAAAATATCTTAATTAAAAAAGTAAAAACAGCTGTTTTATACAAATCAATTGTTATAAAAGCAAGATCAAAAAAAAAAAAAAAAAACACAGGCCAACAAAGTTTAAACAAGTAAGAGTGTTAGTTAGATTCGACTATGCCGAATCATATATACTCACCATCAAACCGTATGCCATAAATGGAATGCTCCCCTATAAATATTAGGTTGATATTTGACATAGGGCTTAAGTCAATTACGGACGCATCCCTTTCGGGTTAAAAAAACATTCATTTTCTGAGGGGTACCTTATATGGGGAGTAGAGTTAATAGTTGACCGATCTTCATAAAATTCGGTAGATAGATTTTTGACAGTGAAAAACTTACTTATATCGAATGTCAGCGCTACCCAGCAAAAATAAAATGAAGTACTTCTAAGTAGTGAATTTGGAAAAATAAAAAGGACATCCCTCCTACGACAAACCTGTGTTAAAATCATCACTTCTTCAGGTCTTTTTCTGTACTTCCATAGAGTAAATTCTACTTCTTGTTCGCTTCTTTGGAAGAACTTTTTTTGTTGGGTAGATTCGAACTCTATCGTGCTTTCAACAGACAGACAGACAGACGGACCGACCGACAGACAAACAAATGGACGGACTATAGACTAGACTATAGACTAGACTATAGACTAAACTATAGACTAGACTATAGACTAGACTATAGACTAGACTATAGACTAGATTTTAGACTAGACTATAGACTAGACTATAGACTAGACTATAGACTAGACTATAGACTAGACTATAGACTAGACTATAGACTAGACTATAGACTAGACTATAGACTAGATTATAGACTAGACTATAGACTAGACTATAGACTAGACTATAGACTAGACTATAGACTAGACTATAGACTAGACTATAGACTAGACTATAGACTAGACTATAGACTAGACTATAGACTAGACTATAGACTAGACTATAGACTAGACTATAGACTAGACTATAGACTAGACTATAGACTAGACTATAGACTAGACTATAGACTAGACTATAGACTAGACTATAGACTAGACTATAGACTAGACTATAGACTAGACTATAGACTAGACTATAGACTAGACTATAGACTAGACTATAGACTAGACTATAGACTAGACTATAGACTAGACTATAGACTAGACTATAGACTAGACTATAGACTAGACTATAGACTAGACTATAGACTAGACTATAGACTAGACTATAGACTAGACTATAGACTAGACTATAGACTAGACTATAGACTAGACTATGGACTAGACTATAGACTAGACTATGGACTAGACTATAGACTAGACTATATACTAGACTATAGACTAGACTATAGACTAGACTATAGACTAGACTATAGACTAGACTATAGACTAGACTATACTATAGACTAGACTATAGACTAGACTATAGACTAGACTATAGACTATACTATAGACTAGACTATAGACTAGACTATAGACTAGACTATAGACTAGACTATAGACTATACTATAGACTAGACTATAGACTAGACTATAGACTAGACTATAGACTAGACTATATACTAGACTATAGACTAGACTATAGACTAGACTATAGACTAGACTATAGACTAGACTATAGACTAGACAATAGACTAGACTATATACAGAATTTTAATGTTTAATTTAAGGTCGACAGGTTGGACTTTCTTATTTTATAACTTTCGGATGTATAATGTACAAATAAGGGTGTTATCGAGCCGATATAACGTCTCAAATTAGTCCCAATTTATTGCAAAAAATGATGTGATGGAGAAATTATGATAACGCGGCATAATATTTTACATTTGTTGTCCTGTGTAATCGAAAAATACATTCGGGATGTTTGTTGCCATTTTAACTGATATATTTTAAATTACTTTTCTGCTAATATATACATACATACTATTATGAGGGCACATATTCTAGAGCCCTGTTAAAAATTGTATTATTTTTTTACCCTATAAATTGGTCCATGCCAATATCAATCGGGTATATAAATAATCAGAAGCGAACTTTAAACAATTAGTTTTGATTAAAATCTTGTAATAGGCACAAAACAAAAATGTACTTCGGCTTTCTATGTCAAATAACTGTAATTGTATTCATTTTTAAAATCAATGAAATCAATTCCGCTGGTCAATTCTATACAACAATCGAAAATAAACAATATTATGTGGACAAAAATAACAAGGTAAGTTGAGAATAATTTGTTAAAAATGTTTTTTAAGAATCATTTAATTATTTATCTTACAGTATACTTTCGATAATAGTATATTAGAATGTTTAAAATTAAACATGACATTGATTGCAATTGACAGCATGAAGGAGGAAGAGGCAATAACACAACTTTTATTAAATAAAAATAATTTTTCATCTCTACCTAAATTATGGATTGGTGGTGTTATAATACCAGGAACACGTACCGCCGTTTGGATATCAACTGGCAAACTATTCGATAACTGGTATCGTGGAAATCCAGATTATGACTATCCCTGTATTTTAGTTGGTTGGGATTCTAAAACTCAATGGACTGATTATATTTGTACAAAAAAATATGGATTCATATGCGAATATCCGAGCGAGAGAAAATTGCAAGAAGAGCACGAAAAGCTAAAAGATGAATTAAAAACCGAAAATGAAAAAAACGATTATTTACAAAAAGAACTAAATAAAGAAAAAGAGTTATCAGAAAATCTTAAGCAACAATTAGAAGTTAAGGTAATGGAAGAAAACGCCGATCAACAGTTGGTGTTACCAAGCTCAATAGAACAACCAGCTGCTCCGTCTTTAGAAAGTGTTGAGCCGGATTCATGTGAAGTGCCAAATAATCAACCGCAAGGATATTCACAACAATTTTTATTTTCACACGTACAAAATGCATATTTTATGCCTAACAGATATTAAATTTTACTTTTCTCTTCTAAATTATATGAAAGATTAATTCTAATAAATATTTCAACACTTAAGAGAAATAACATTTATTTAAAACAGGCATGAAAAATACAGTACTTTAGTACTTTTTTCAGTACTTTTTGTTATCACAAAATACTCCAGTACCCCTTCGACATTTTTAGTACTTTTCAAATTTATAAACTTTTAAACCTAGCAGTTAATAGACCAGTATATAGGCTATAGTGTCTAGTCTAGTATATAGTCTAGCCAATAATCTAGGGAATAGTCTAGTCAATAGTCTAGTCAGTTTCCTAGTCAATAGTCTAGTCAATAGTCTAGTTAATAGTCTAGTCAATAGTATAGTCAATAGTCTGGTCAATAGTCTAGTCAATACTCTAGTCAATAGTCTAGTTAATAGTCTAGTCAATAGTATAGTCAATAGTCTGGTCAATAGTCTAGTCAATACTCTAGTCAATAGTCTAGTCAATAGTCTAGTCAATAGTCTAGTCAATATCCAAGTCAATAGTCTAGTCAATAGTCCAGTCAATAGTCTAGTTAATAGTCCAGTATATAGGCTATAGTGTCTAGTCTAGTATATAGTCTAGCCAATAATCTAGGGAATAGTCTAGTCAATAGTCTAGTCAGTTTCCTAGTCAATAGTCTAGTCAATAGTCTAGTTAATAGTCTAGTCAATAGTATAGTCAATAGTCTGGTAAATAGTCTAGTCAATACTCTAGTCAATAGTCTAGTCAATAGTCTAGTCAATAGTCTAGTCAATAGTCTAGTCAATAGTCCAGTCAATAGTCTAGTTAATAGTCCAGTATATAGGCTATAGTGTCTAGTCAGGTATATAGTCTAGCCAATAATCTAGGGAATAGTCTAGTCAATAGTCTAGTTAATAGTCTAGTCAATAGTCTAGTCAATAGTCTGGTCAATAGTCTAGTCAATACTCTAGTCAATAGTCTAGTCAATAGTCTAGTTAATAGTCTAGTCAATAGTCTAGTCAATAGTCTGGTCAATAGTCTAGTCAATAGTCTAGTCAATAGTCTAGTCAATAGTCTAGTCAATAGTCTAGTCAATAGTCTAGTCAATAGTCTAGTCAATAGTCTAGTCAATAGTCTGGTCAGTAGTCTAGTCAATAGTCTAGTCAATAGTCTAGTCAATAGTCTAGTCAATAGTCTAGTCAATAGTCTAGTCAATAGTCTAGTCATTAGTCCAGTCAATAGTCTATAGTCTAGTCAATAGTCTAGTCAATAGTCCAGTAAATAGTCTAGTCAATAGTCTAGTCAATAGTCTAGTGAATAGTCTAGTCAATAGTCTAGTGAATTGACTATAGTCTAGTCTATAGTCTAGTCTATAGTCTAGTCTATACTCTAGTCTATAGTCTAGTCTATAGTCTATTCTGGTCTATAGTCTAGTCTAGTCTATAGTCTAGTCTAGTCTAGTCTAGTCTAGTCTATAGTCTAGTCTAGTCTATAGTCTAGTCGAGTCTAGTCTAGTCTATTGTCTAGTCTATAGTCTAGTCTATAGTCTAGTCTATAGTCTAGTCTATAGTCTAGTCTATAGTCTAGTCTATAGTCTAGTCTATAGTCTAGTCTAGTCTATAGTCTAGTCTAGTCTATAGTCTAGTCTAGTCTATAGTCTAGTCTAGTCTATAGTCTAGTCTAGTCTATAGTCTAGTCTAGTCTATAGTCTAGTCTAGTCTATAGTCTAGTCGAGTCTAGTCTAGTCTATAGTCTATTGTCTAGTCTATAGTCTAGTCGAGTCTAGTCTATAATCTAGTCTATAGTCTAGTCTATAGTCTAGTCTATAGTCTAGTCTATAGTCTAGTCTATAGTCTAGTCTATAGTCTAGTCTATAGTCTAGTCTATAGTCTAGTCTATAGTCTAGTCTATAGTCTAGTCTATAGTCTAGTCTATAGTCTAGTCTATAGTCTAGTCTATAGTCTACTCTACAGTCTAGTCTTGTCTATAGTCTATTCGAAAGTCTAGTCTATAGTCTTGTCTATAGTCCTATAGTCTTGTCTATAGTCTAGTCAATAGTCCTAGTCTATAGTCTAGTCTGTAGTCTAGTTTATAGTCTAGTCCTATAGTCTAGTCTATAGTCTAGTCTATAGTCTAGTCTATAGTCTAGTCTATAGTCTAGTCCTATAGTCTAGTCTATAGTCTAGTCTATAGTCTAGTCCTATAGTCTAGTCTATAGTCTAGTCTATAGTCTAGTCTATAGTCTAGTCTAGTCTATAGTCTAGTCTATAGTCTAGTCTATAGTCTAGTCTTAGTCTGTCTATAGTCTAGTCTATAGTCTGTCTATAGTCTAGTCTATAGTCTAGTCTATAGTCTAGTCTATAGTCTAGTCTATAGTCTAGTCTATAGTCTAGTCTATAGTCTAGTCTAGTCTATAGTCTAGTCTATAGTCTAGTCTATAGTCTAGTCTATAGTCTAGTCTATAGTCTAGTCTATAGTCGAGTCTAATGTATAGTCCAGTTTATAGTCTAGACCTAGAATAGTCTGTAGTTAGTTTAGTTTATAGTCCAGTCTGTAGTCTAGCGGAAAGTAATTTAGTACTTTTAAACCTAAAAAGTACTAACATAAGTTAGTTTTTATTTCAAAATTTAAATTTGCCATGCCTGATTCAAAAGGTATTTCCATTCAGTGGATTAATTGTCCTCCATTCAAATATGTACTTTTAGATTCTGTCGGTGTATCAAACCTTTGTTTCCAAATTTATATGAAACTGAACGACTTCTATAAATCCGCCATTAGTCATAATTCCAATGTTGAAAAATTTAGATAAAAATTTAAAGTTCTTGGAAAAAATATAACATTAATTTTGTTGTTGTTTTATTATAGTTGTTGTTCATTTGTTTATTATTATTTCTTTTATTAATAATTATTAAATTTGTTAATTTTATACTTATATGTATATTAAAAAGAAACGTATGTTTTTATAAATTAAAAAAAACAGAAAATTTTAACTCAACGCAATAAACAGAATTATTTGTTCACAAACATTTGTTTTCAGTTTCATTCAGAGAAAACAAATTCTCAAAAAAATTATTCAAACAAATAAGAAAATAAACTAAATATTTATTTAGTATAAATACTTAAATCATTTTATTTTAATGTTAAGCATTTCCTTTTTTGTTATCTGGTTTATATAATTTCTTAAAAATTACTATTTTATTAAAGTATATTTTTTTCAGTTTTTTTTTTTCTATTATCATTATATATAGATTATTTAATAATTATTACAATTGAGTAAAACCTTAAAGATCATTTTTTGTTAAAATGTGTTTTAAGATTTTTTTGTAAATCACTGTAAAATTTACAAATGAATTTATTGGTTATTTGTTGGGGTGGTGTAAAATGGTCTGTGGGGGCAAAGGGAGGGGGAAAGTTAAGTTATCAAACTTGGTCGGCAGGAGGGGTATAGAGGTTTGGAATATTAGTGTTTAAAAAAAATTATAAAAAATTTTTAAGTTAAACAAATTTAAACAAAAATCTTGAAAGTTATTTGAGATGATTAACTTACAGCAAAAAATAATTCCTAGTTGTGCATAGGGGATTGAGAGCTATTGGCGAGCCTTAAAAATTTAGGCGGAAAAGTGCGATATATGAAAGCAATTGAAATTTGCTTTAAAATTAAATTCAAATTACAAATCAATTGGAACGATATTGAGTGTCGAAAGCTAGTCCCTGTAATTCGTTTCAAAAGCCAAAGTTATGGTTTTCGAACCGAATTATAGAATCACACCCATTCTGCATTTAGATTACGTTTCGGCATGCAGTTACGTAACGATTGAAAAAAGCTATTCCAACAAAAAACTGAATCGTAAGAAGAAAAAAGACCATTTCGTTTTAATGCTTATCCATTTGTATGCTTTTCTAGGCTGTTGTTTACGGACTGATATTTCGGTTCAAATTGTAATGCCGAATAGGGGTTAATAACTCTATAGAAAGTAAATTGATATACACAATATCCCATTTAAAATGGACCATGTTGAAAATTATAAATAAATTAGTTTAGAAACCGTTAGTTATAGATCAATTGTAGATTATAGATCAAGTGTAGAACAGAAAAATTGGGGCCGTATTGGTTTAAATTAAAATCTTCTCGATCAGGAATACATCGTTTGCTTTTTACTGGTGCTTGGAGCCAATATGAACATATCCTCATGACAATTGATTTCGCTTAATTTTACACTCTATCACGGATGTGATGTTGGGTCTAATATGGCCCGATAGATGTAGAACCTTCGGGCCGTATAGGTTTAAATTAAGTTACAATCTATTCGTAAACGAAAACTTTCGATGTTATTTCGAAACAATTTTAAATCAAAATTAAAAAAAATCTAAAGTATGAAACCAAATTCTGAGGCTAGATGACGCTATCTATGGTTTGGGACTTTTTCGATTAAAGAAATTTTTACCCCTAATCTGCATTTCAATTCGAATCGAAATTTTCTCCATTTGGCAACTTTGGTATTCTGCATTTCGATTCGAAGCTCCGTCACTAAAATAACAACTCACAAAAACGTAGTTACGATCGTAATGCAAAATACACACAAAATCGTAAAGTATTGAAATAAAATGAAATTGCTTCTTCTTTTTCTAACGTTTCCGTTTTTTATTGGAATACCTATTTTCGATCGTAGCGTAACTGAATGCAGAAACGTAATCGAAATGCAGAATAGGAGTGTTTAAAAATTTTGATAAATTATCATGTTCTTAAACAAATTTTGAATTTCTAGGATTGGATAACTCTATTTTTAGGACATTTTCAATAAATTTCCTTTTTGTGGGAAATTTTCGATAAATTACCTATTTGAGGGAAATTTTTGATAAATTTACCTATTTGAGGAAAAGTTCATATAACTTTTTTTCATTTGAGGAAATAATTTCCTGTGTTTGACAAAAATTTCAATAAATTTCCTATTTTTAGAAAGTTTTCGATAAATTTTAATTTTTTGAAAATATTTGATAATTTTTTTTATAGAAGATTTTTGATAAATTTTCTTTCATTAAGAAATTTTTGTAAATTTCCCTTTCCAAGAAATTTTTGTATATTTCCCTTT